CCCGCCCTGCGTCACCGGGGGGTCGCGGCCTCGCGCGCGGGTCGAGGTTCCCGCGGGGGGAAGGCGTTCGCTTGACCGGTGACAGAACCCCCGCTGGTCTGGGCCCTCCACGGACAAGCCTAAGAACAACACAGTTCGAATGAAACTGCCTTCCTTTCAGTCGTTCGTGATCTGTCCTTAACGCTAACAGTTATGGCTACCAGAGCTGGGAGTGGGCACAGGGCTTAAGGGGCTACTCATACCCGCTGATCTTTGCGAGCATCTACAAAGCCCTACAGCTGCTGGCTAAGGATGACGTGCAGCTGCTGGTGAGCATAATAAAAAAACCCACATCCGCTACCAAAATTCTGTTTAAAAGCACTGTATTTCAATTGAGTAAACGTTTATCATTGTCCAGGTAAAATACAAAGCCTTGAATCTGGCAGTTGGAGATGTCTGAGCACAGAGACCTCGCCAAAGCGTTTCGCGTGGGTGCAGAACTCATTCGTAGGTCTCCAGTCACAGCACTGATGCCTGTGACTGCAGAGGACAATAACTGGCCTCCATCAGGCTCCTTGAGTTTCATACCGATATTCTTTGCTGCTGCATTGTAACTGCTCAGTGGTTCAGTCTTCCAAAGTGTTTAATAATATATGTTTGTGCTGGGCTCAGTAACAGCAGCCCCTTTTGACTTCTATTGGAGATGAACAGCAAAGAATTCTACTCTCAATTTCTGAACACTTTCAGTTAACTGGAGATTTTCTTTGTTTTGGCAGAAATACTAGTCTTATTGAAGCACCTTACTATTTTTTTTTAATTTGTAAAAAGCTATAGCGAATATTCACTAATTCACTTACTCTTTTCATGTCTAAACAGTCATTCACTAATTTAGTAGTCCTCTCCTTGAACCTGGAATTTAACAGGCTTGTTGCAAATAAAATTTTCTCTCTGCTTGCATAGATATGGGTCCCTAGACTTGCACAGGCAGTGCTGGCAGCTTTTGCTGACGTGAAGCTTTACTCATTAGTGCGACACCTTGAAAATGCAGAAACAGCAAAGTGCGTGGTGAGTCTCAGCCTATGTATGTTAATAAACACTGTTGCAGCGTAAACAAGAGCAAAATGGTAAGTCACACCTTGAAGAATTATCACCTTCATTTAAAACTACAGAATTTAACATTTCTCCCCGTGCATCCTGCTGTTTGTAATTATTTTCAGTACTTCTGCCAGCTCTGTTCCTGGTTTACATGGTATTGCTGTACCAGAACTCTAACAAACACCATGGAAACTCTTCTTACCATTTTTGCGCTTTCCTACTATCCGATAAAAGGTTCCAAGATGGGCAGCAGGTGAGAAGCTTTCTACTGACAGTACTGATAATTTTTGGCTTGGGATAACACCAATCTACTGATACTGTTTAAAATGCTAGCTTTTATCTTAAAATGTAAGGCAACCAAAACCACCTCGTTCCTGTAGCAAGAGCTCTAGATCATGGAAGGAACAGCAACTGTGTTACTTCCGCTCACATTTTTTTTGAAGATGGGATATAGCTGGTATATATCTCCAGTTGCCTTACACAAAGTATCACTTCATGGGAAACTTTAATTTAAGCTTTGAAGGACCGGAATTTGTGGTAACTTGAGAAAAGATGACAGAAGCTTGTTTGGGTTCAAACATAGATGAATTTGTGGTCACAACTTTCTTTACCAGCTATCTATTTTAAAGCAAGTATGTGTTTCTAGATAGCAACTCCATTGCTAATAAAGCAATTACATAGTTGGCAGCCTTCCAAGCAAAAGAGTATCCGCACTGAGAGAATCAGTTATCTGCAGTATGAAAAACTTGGTCAGACACATGACAGTATTTAAACTGTTGAAATGTCACTGTTTGCAAAAGAATTGATCAAACATTTTGATAAACTTTTGTTTTTCTTATATTCCCTCATTCTAGTTGCAAATATTTAGCTTTGATAGCACTTGCAATTGTTATTCGTCCCACCGCTGTTATCCCATGGATACCTTTGGTCTTCACTCATTTTTTGCAAGAACAGAGGAAAGCAGACCTTATCCTACACAACTGCATTCCAGTTGGGTAAGTTTTCTGAATTTAAACTATGACTGTGCACAGCTATATCTTTAAGATTGATTTTATCACTGCAAAGGCAGACAATGCAAAAAAGCTGATTTCATGTAAAAAAACAAGGAAAAAAATAGAGTCCTTCTGCAAAAGTTTAAAGAAGGGGCATACTTCCTTTAATGTATATGCTGCAAAAAAGCACTAGGAGAGATTTCATGAGGATGAGACACTAACAGCGTTCCAGCTTAATCTGAGACTGCGACAAGGATATTGGGCAATGGCAACTGGCCACTGTAAAATGGCCAGGAGTATGGATAATCTCAAAGAAGATTAGGAATAACTATTCAGGGAGTTTTAAAAGCTATTTGGAGAAGAGTAGAATCTGATACAAAAGCAATTCAGGCAATATCAGTGCAACCAACTTTCTGTTTTTGCAGATTGGTCACAGTAGGAGCCTCTTTAATAATTGACCGTGTGTTTTTTGGTGAGGTAAGTTGTTTTAAACTTGATTTATACGAAAAAGGTTGAGTTTTAGCATTTTAACATGGACAGATGTTTCAGACTTCTCTAACTTCTGTTATTTCTGTGACTGTCTTATGATCTCTAAATATATCCTAAGCCATAAACCTGTAAACACTGACTTCTCAGTTATTTTAAATGACAGACTGTTACTTAAAATCAGTATGCTCAGCTCTCAATAAATCATTATCGACAAACTACAAAACTTACACGCTTCTGTGTTTAATTGCTAAGTATAGGAAGTCTGTGACAAGTCTTAGTAGAAAAAAAACACATAAGCATGAATGAAAATGCCGTTATCATTTAAGGCCAGTGATGACTCTGTAATTCAACTTAGCTGCTGGTTTTCACTTTGGGTTTGTATTTAATTCCGCCCCTCCCTCCCCTAAATCTCCTAGTGGGTACTGGTTCAGCTGAACTTCTTGAAATTCAACGGGCTGCAGAATTTGGGAACATTTTATGGATCTCATCCTTGGCACTGGTACTTCACTCAGGGACTACCAGTCATCTTGGGTACCCATCTGCCTTTCTTTATTCATGGCTGTGTGCTGGCACCAAAAAGGTATCGCATCTTTCTAATGGCAGTGATTTGGACAGTGGTGGTATACAGGTAATTTCTCCTAAGTCTAACTACTATCGTTTACTGGTTGTGTTCTTTTCAAAGCTCATGTCCTCTCTAGAACAAAAAAGCACGTTATTCCAGTTAAGTGATAGAAGACTTTAAAATACTCCAAGAAATACAGTCAATTATACAAGAGTTTCTAGAACGTTATGTACTACTTCGTATATTGTTATCAAACATGTATTTTTGGAATCAATTAGACCCTTAAAGAATAAAATAATTCAGCATGAAATTCAATGCAAAATGAAAAAAAACAATTTGCCTAACAGGTGTTTCAGCAACAGAACTAGTTAGAAAACTGTGTTTAATAGATGCCTGTTTAAGTTGGTAAGTAGAAGAAAAGATAAGCTGTTTCTAAAGCATTAGAATTAACTGTAGATTAAACAAGAGACACTTTCAGACAAGAAAAGAGATGGCAAATTAATAAATACTAAGTAATAAATGGTATTAGACTACAGTAGCAACAGAATACAGCAAAACAGTAGGAAGGCCACAAACACCATCTTTTCTTTCAGTCCAACTCCGAACCAGAAGTGGCTGTATTGGTTTTAGGCTTTTTTTAATCTCCCTTAGTCTTGTAAGAACCTGTTTGGTTCCCATGACACAAGTCTTGAAGGAAGCCCCAAAAAAGCCCCCAAAGTTGGCATGGGAAATTGTGTAAAGTTGTATCAGCAGAGGTGAATGTTACTTTGTTAGATACAAATGTGTACTTCAATCTCAGCCTACCATCCACACTTTTTACTGCGTTTTATTACAGAAAGCAAATTGGTGAAGTACTAGCTAAATTACATCTAGTAGTCATAGAATCAGACCACTTAAGTGCTAGAGTAGTAGCCAGGTACTTTTATTAGTGCTTGGTTTAAACCGACCAAATAATCTTAATTTGAATGTACTCATTATGTTCTTACAGAGTAACAATTTGAATTTTTGCTCTGAACTCCTTCAATGCCAAAAGATTTTTAGTACATGCAGATGCTTTTCTTCCAGTCCTCCATGCTCTAAAACATATTTTGTCAACAGAACTGATGCATTTAACTTTCTCACTGTAATATTATATCTGTTGTATTGCAGCATGCTGAGCCATAAAGAATTCAGGTTCATTTATCCAGTACTGCCATTTTGCATGTTTTTTTGTGGTAAGCATTGGTTTCAAATGTCTTGCAGCCTTCCATGTATGTAATTTTTAGATAGACTGTTTTAATATTCAGTGTAGGTATTTGACAAAGAATTCCTAGAACTAGCCTAACCTTTTCTTACAGATGGGGGCAGCTTGTGACTGAAATACAGATGGAGAATCCTTAGCATGGATAAAAGTACTTCCTGCAAAAACCACAAAAATTGCCTCAGTGACTCCTAACTTTTTAGTACTGCCACCCTTACACTGCATTTTGTTCCTTTGCTCCTTTGTAGTATTTTTCTACCGGCTTCTCTCAAATATGCCTGACAAATGCCTTTGAGTATGCAACAAAAACCCCAAAGTATTAAAAACCTAAAATTATCCTTTTCTAGATTCAAGTGTGTCACTAGATGATGCTAGCTTTCTGTCTGCTCATGACCACCCACCAGCTGGCAGCTGCTTCCCACAGAAGTTTTAGAGCAGTTAACGTGATAGCTTTTTCCTTCAGGCATAGTAAGGCGATTTTGTTATAACAGGAGTAAGGTCCCTAAACTAATGTGGTTAACTTAAAAACTGCTTTTGCTAAGATTTTTCTGATACTTCAACAGAAACTTTGTCTTTTTTCCTATTTTGTGGACTTCTTTTTTTCTTTTAAACACAGAAAAGAGCCTAATAGGAAGTATTTTATATTTTACAAAATTGGGTATTAACTACACTAGTGTATCTATAGGAAAAGTAAAATCATGAGGTAAAGTCTAGTATGCTGCAAAAGTTACAAAGTAAAGATTAAAACTTTCAGACCATGAAGCCGTATAGCTTTAGTTTAAATACAAGTTCAAAACAGATGAATCAATGAAAACTGTAATTATCTGTAACCTGTTTTGCCAGTCTAAACAAAAGTAAATCTTATTTCAGTATTTTTGCTCTGTGATGAGATCAAATATGTAGTAAATCTTGGCTTAGTTCAACAGCAGATTTAAGATGAACCAGTTCTACCTCACATACAGAAAAATTCCAATCAGACCACTATTTTTTATTAATATCTCTTTTAACTGTCCTGTCTATAGGGCAATGAGGTCATCTCAATTTATCAAGAGTTAATTATCATCTGTTTGGATACTTCAGAAAAAGTAAAAAATGATGAAAGTTATTTCTGATAATTCAGTATTTACAAAGAGGTCTTTCGATTGCTCAAAACATTATAAATAAATTTTAAAAAAACCCCACATGAATTTCAAAGTCGTTTCCAAGCACACTTAAAGGTAAGCTAAGAGCATTTCACAAAAGCAGTAAAAAAAGCCTGTAATAGAATGTTTCCACTCCTGTTTAAACCACAGGCTAATTAGTAGACTTTGTTTTCATCTGAGATAAAGATCTGCAATTTGTCAGAACAGACCAGCTGAAGACTAATTTAACTTCTTACTGATGTATGAAACAGGCCTATTCTAACTTGTTTCTTGTGATTCAACAAAGGTGGTCACAGAAGTAGGCTGCATCAAATATTTTTATCTCCTAATACTGACAAGCGCATGACTTCATAAGGGTTTCCTGACTGGTTGCAACATGAAGCTGTCTTCTGTGCCAGGTTCATCTAAGTTGTAGTTGTGAGAAACAGGTTTATAGAGCTGCCTCCCTCCCACCAGGAGAAATGTCCCTTCATATTATTAGCTCATTCAAGAAAAGCAGGGATGGGAGATGGGAAAAGATGGATGAGTAAGCTTTTCCAACGATACTAGCTCAAAAATTAATAAGGGAATGCTGTAGCTTTCAGCATGTTGGAGAAAGAATACCACAGCCATACCAGAGCACACATAGTTAGCATTTATTCTACCTCTTCTTGGACATGTGTGAATCAGAACACATCAATAAGTACATCATTCACCCAAACTACTGAATGGATTATTTCTTCCCCCACAAGAAATTAAGCAAGCTCTAAAGAGACAAAGCATTGGCTTTGAAATTCTACTTCTGTACTTCAAAAGACAAGTATGGGATTTAACAGTGTAAATGTTAAGCAAAGAGTTAATATGGGCAAAGTCTAACCTTTGAATTTCCATTTAAAGAGTAACAACTGAAAAACTACTCTATTAAAATACCTCAAAGCAAGATATTGTGATCAACTGAGTACAGATTTTGTAGTAAAGTTATGGCACTTTCAAAAGTACTGTGTGGAACTGTTAGTATCTGTTTATGTCAGACTTACTCAAATGTTTCTCTAGGATATTCTTTGAAACACCTGAAAGCATGGAAGAAATCTGCAGCAAGTTTCCTGCTTTTATCAAACTTACTCCCAGCCCTGTATACAGGATTGATTCACCAGCGAGGCTCCCTTGATGTTATGAATCACATACAGCAACTCTGCAATACCTCTTACCAGTCACAAGCTTTTGTCTTCTTCATGATGCCGTGCCACTCTACTCCATTTTACAGGTATTAAAATAGTTAACAGTGTATTACGTTAAAACCAAAACACTTAACGAGAAATTAAGATTATTTTTTTTTCTCCCTAAACTTAATAAATTGAGATGGATAAAATGTATACAGGAAGAGTTCTGATTTTTCATCGTTAATACAGAATGAATAGGGGGAATAAGCTAAATGCTTAGAATAAAATTCAGCATCTAAGCTTTATTCAGTTTTTGTAAAATAGCTTTGTATGAGGGTACACAGTAAGTCTTAATGACTTCTGAAAGTAATTCACACTGCTTCATTATGGTAACTTTTGTAGTAAAACTAAAGACTTAACTGTTATAGTCAAAATGTATTAGTTTTACCTTTACTCCACTGCTAGAGAGTAAAGAAATGTAATTACAACATACAATGAGTGAAGTCACTATTCCAAAAAGTTTGCAGTAGGTCCTGGCATGTAAACAAAACGTTGAAGCAGATATAAACAGTGAAGCTGGTAGGGAAAAGTACCTTTTTAAGAAACTGATGTTACACAGATGGTATTTTTATTAAGATAAGTCTGCTTTCTGTGAACTGCTAACAACATAGTCACAGCAGTTTGGAGTCAAATCCACTTGTTCTACTTTTGCTTTTATATGAAGTACAGAAGGGAAGAAAATGTGACTCTGGAGGGGGAAAAAGTAGTTACTCAATTGTGGTTTTGACTGAGGTATCTTTTACGTGGCGAGTCATTTCAAATCTTAGATAATGGATAGTTTACCCTGAAGTATTTGCTTTGTTTTTCTCCCTAGTCATGTCCACTGTCCTATAAAAATGAGATTCCTTCAGTGTCCCCCAGACCTAACTGGAAATGAGAGCTATATTGATGAAGCAGATGTATTTTACTCTGATCCACTTGGCTGGCTTACTAAGGAGTTCTACAATGATACATTATTACCCAGTCACTTGATCTTCTTCAGTGTGCTAGAACAGGTATGGTAACTGAAAGATGAAATACCCTAGTTTTGAGGTCAAGTTACAAAATAAATTAAGGGAGAGTTATAGTTAAGATTTCTGAAAATTGTTGTCCGCAACTTTTTAAAACAGCTTAAATGAAAATTGAAGCCTCTAGTCCATAACACAGTATAGATACCATTCCATTGAGATATACTTCACATTCATGTATGCCCTCTCCTCTGTGCAAATTCTACACGCCATAAAATAATGTTTTATGGAATTCCCCTCAAGCCATATTAAAACAAATGTGTGGTCTGTTCCCAGAACCATACACTTCAGTAAGCAACAGTGATAAACAAGAATGCCTGCAACCAGAGTACCTTTTCCCCCTCAATTCTTTTATGAAGTCCATGTGCTCCAACAGTGTCTGGTGAATATCCACTCCAGACAGGATCAAACAGGATAGGTACCACTTTCTCTAGCAGTCTTTCCTATAATAAAGGATAAAACTTCCAGGGGACAGTTGAATTGATGGTTTTCAGAAAACTTTGGAATACTGTTCTGATGCTCCCGATTACACTTTCTGACTGTGGAAACTAATCTATGTTCATTTACAGGAAATATCATCATTTCTGGCTTTAAGAGGCTACGAGAAAACGGCCACTGTCTTTCACACTCATGTACCTCAAGGACGAGTTGGAAGCCACATCTATGTCTACAGGAGAAAACCTGAAATGAATCATACCTGAAGATCAGTTTCTAGACTTAAGACCTAATGAGATCAGTTTTGCACAGCAGTACTATGCTTGGAAGATCTTGTACTGCAGAAGGGAGAGAGTAGCGAGTCTGAAACCGGGTAAGTCAAACGGGGAAGTCTGATTAGGCAGCCACTGGTTGTGTGGAAACACATGAACCTCTTCCTGAGGGCAACTTCAGTAGCAGTATGGCTGGGTGGGGGTGTTGACCTACCTTACAACACTAGAAAACAACAGGAAGACCAAAGTTACCATATGACTACTTAATAAGAAATTAGACAAGACTGGACCATTTTTATAGAACTGCACAGCTAGGCTAGGTTTGTTTATAAATAAAGACTTTTACCCACAATGTCTCTTTATTTTTCTTCTACAGTATGCAGATATGCAAGACATTTAAAGTGCTTAAATCAGCAAGCTGATTAGAATGCAGCACAGCAAATTCTTCACAATTCAACAGGCTCTTGAACCCCCCCAAAGACAAGAAGCAAGTATAAGATTACAAAACACTAACAAATACATTACCATAATGTAGACCTATTTTTTGAAGGATGAGATGAAGTTAGTATATCAAACATCTGAGTTAATTATTGGTACATTACGCATGACTCAAACTTGAACTACACTAATGGAATGCAATTAAGCATATTTTTCATACACAGGTCATGGCATGCCTAGTTTCTGCAACAATACTGCTTGCACCCAAACTATCATCACTTCCAAAGAACAGTTAAAGCAACAGTACAGAATATGCAAATTAGAAAGCTTGAATTCTGCCTTTTAACAAAAATGTGTAAAAATCAAATTGTTTAGAGAAAAAACTTGCATCTTGATGCTTTGTGGAGAAACAGTTAGTTTCTGGAGAGGATGTGAATTATTAATTCTAATCTTATTTTTACCATAAATTACTCAATATTTTGGATCAAAGGGTAATTGCCCCAATTCTATTTCAAGATTTGCCATGTGTCTTCCATTACTGCGTCCATGTTTATGCCATTTACCTTCTCTTTTATTACGGTGGTGGTACTTCTGAGCTTGTTTTTCATGTCTGGAATTTTCAGTTTGTGTAAAAGGCCTTTTAGGTCGACTGCAAGGAGTAAAGAAAAGCTTATTACTACTCTTATGAAAGCATCTCTCAAAGCATTTTGAAACACATTTACATTGTCAAGAACAGCTTTTAACATGCTGAGGTTGACTGAAAAGAAAACAAAATAGTATTAAAAAGTAGTCCTTTCTCTTGTAAGCAAAATGAGGGTGAGGTTTATTTTTTTCGTTTGGATCATCAGTAAGTTGGTATATGTGAAATAAATCCTTTCTAAAAATAAAAATACTCTGCAGCTGGTTGCCCAAAGTTCTTTTTAGAATAAAGCCCGATGAACAGCTGTTTGATTATCCCTACTGTGATGCCTGAGTGAGGTCTCAATCTATTTTTCAGTTATTCTATTACATTCTCCTCTATAAAAATAGTGAAAATTTCACAGACCCTTAGGAAAGCATGCTTTGCATAAAGATCGGCACTTCAGAGGTTTTCATGTACAGTCAGTACATCTATACAGAGAGGAGGCACTGACAAAACACCGTTGCTCACCTGTCGCAGGTTTTGATGCAAACAGTCCCATTACACTACACGCTGTTATCATACGACTAGCGCCTCTAGCCTTCTCTTAACCTGAGTTAAGGCTGTTTTCTTCCTCCTAGAAACTTCTGTATAATACTACCAGTAAATGAATTTGAAATTCTGTTTTTCTGCAAACCGAATTAACGTACTCAAAAGTGAGGTTAAAAAGGCTATTTGGTAGCTGATAATATGAGGATCATCCTCATGGTTAAACTTAAAAGAGACAGTACTACCTCACATAATATTTAGTAACCCCAAAGTGTTAAGTATTGAGACTTCCTGCTGCAATAAACACATGCAATAATAAACAACACAAGTCCAGAAGAGAAACCTGACTGAAGAACTGCACCTTGATCTAAGCACTAAATATCCTTTGCACTGAATACCAGCCCAGGAAAAAGTTCTGTTATGTCTACAAGGACAACTTCTTGTGTTATTTATAAGTTAGTTAATCACGTTTTTTCTTACCTGATCAGAATAAACATTAGCACAAGGCACTATATAGCTAATTTTGTAACAGGAATGATATTAAAAGCCACATAAAATATATATGCAAGTGTTCCAGAAAGAGCAAGTTCCACACAATGTATTAAGGCTGCTTAACTTTCTTTCATCAGTGTCTATGCAGTAGAAACCATCCACTGTATCTAGCTCCTTTAGGCCAGCCAGGCAGCATACTACAACTGCTCTGTGGAAGCCCTCAGAACACCATTAAATACAGGAAAGTAATGTAGGAAACAATTCATGCCAAGGACCTTTGTAAGCAAATCTGAACAAAATTTAGTCAGTGTCAGGATCTGAACTAAAGCCTGCCATTTGAGTAGCTCTGCTCTGAGCATCAGAGCTCAGTATTTTACTAACCTACAAAAGTGTAGTGCAATTCCTGAAAAGCCATCACAGCTGCCAGAACAGGACTTCGAGACTGCTCAAATATAGCCAAAATCCTTCTCATTTGTGAAGGACAACAAGGAAGTCCTAGTTAAGCTTCTTCTAAGCCAGCTGTTCATTCCATCAGAGAGGGAATCACAGCTGTTCAGTCTAAAGTAAACCTACTTGCGGTTACACAGTTTTCTAAGTAACTCAGTAGAACTATTAGATTGTGCTACATACAGTGGATCTGTAGTGCCTCCCAAACTAACATCCCACACACACAAAATTTATATATAAGGTACTACAGATCCATTTTATATAACATAATCTGGTATTTCCATTGAATCCTTCAGAAAGTCTTCTAGCATGGATATATGTACATACATATATACATACATGCTAGAAAAGCACCTCTTAGAACAATGACACTAGTTGTCTTTACAAAGACTACATCGTGTTAACAAGTTCAGGAAACATGTAAACAAACCTGGGTCCATATTGGGGTGAATTATCATAATGAAAGTAGTATCTGTAGACATATTTGTCCAAATCCTCAAAAAGCTTTTCATTATTATTTTGGTATTCCTTCATATCTTCCAGGTAATCCTTGACATCATTAACAAAATCAGTGAACAGCATCTGGTCATGTATAAATAGCCCGTTATGAAAAAATTTATTGATGAAATTTTCTAGTTCTCTCCAGTGATGAAAGTTATGTACAACTTGTTGCAAATACTTTTTCATTAACCTACTAAATTCATCCACCCTGATAGGATCCGATACTCTGTTAAAGAGACTAAGAGATTCTTGGTGAGCACATTCAAAAATACCAGAGCAGCCCTTTAGGACAAAGTGATGTTTTCTATTACATGAAGGGTCATGGAGACATTTCTGTGAATCTGTATCTTTTTCAAATGTTGTAAACTGATGTTTTCTTCCATCTTTGAATTCTTTTGGCATGTCAGGTCCCCTGTAATACACATGCTTCAGATTCTCGTAAGAGTTATGTTCTCGGTAAAAAGTCCGAGCTTTCTTGTTTGCTGCGTGTCTTCTATCATTTGATGACTTCTCCTTTTGATCAAAGATGTTTTTTGTGGTATCTTTGAAGTGTCTGAACGTAGACTTCACAGAATCAGAGAATTTTTTCAGGTTTTCTTTCACTGCTTCTTTAGCCTGCTTAATCTTTTCTTTATGGTGTCTTACAAACTCTTTTGTGGAATTTTTCATAGCATCAAAAGTTTCTTTAACTGAACCAAAAAATGATTCCTTTGATTTCTTTCTAGTCTTACTTTGCCCTTTAGCACCTTTCTTTTGTCCCCTTTCATTCACTTCTTGTTTTTCAGTTTGGTCTTTCGCTTCAACATACAGCTTCTCCCACAAGTCAGAGCGTTGTTGCTCAAAGTTTAGCTTTTTTTCTAGTTCTACTAGTCTTCCTCGAAGAATCTCTATTTCTTGATTTTCCTTTAATGTGTCATCATCATTAGCATTGTCAGGTGTTTGATGGGAACTTAACTGTTCCAGTTCTTTTTTTAGAACTTCTGTAACATGACGTTCTTTGTCCAGTTCTCTCCTTAACATCTGTGCCTCAGCAAAGAGTGTTTCCTTTTGCCTAAGAAAGTTGTGGTTTCTTTGCTTTTCCTCTTCCAAATGTTCCCTTAGTTTCTGATTTTCCATTACAATAGACTCAGTGCTAGTACCTTTATCTTCTAAGTTTCTAATTTGTTGTCTTAGCTTCCTTAATTCTTCCTGAAGTGAGGCCAAAGCTTTTTCTTCCTTTTCTAGAGATTCTCTTAAATGCTGATTTTCCACAGCAAGACTTTTTTTTTGAGATTCAAAAGATTTCTTCTCCACATCAGTAGAGGTCAAACATGTGGCAAGATCTCCCTTGAGTGACCAATACAAACAAAAAGAGAACAAGCAAAAACACTACAATTAGAATTGTTACAATTCCATCTAGAAAGATGAAAGACCAATGTAGCCCTGAGAGTTTACTTATCATTTCAGATGCTGTGACACATGTTGCAGCAAGATGCAAAAATAGAACTGGTTTGTTTATCTCAGATACACACACAAACACTTTCTTGGCAACAAAGACCATGGGAGAGGCTCCCCCTTCCAACCAGAGGTCATTACCCCTTGCTTGTATTGGTTTAACTAGCTGAAGGACAGTAAACTGGGTACATGAATGATCCATCTGAAAAGGAAATTAAAATGTGCATGTTTGCTGTTGATTTATGGTCAGAAAACTGGGTTTACAGATTACAAAACCAAATACATTAGCAGAAGCAAGGGCATTCAGCAGATGGGGCAGAAATTCAGGAACTGATTTTGAACCAAATTTGCTGCCGAAAATACATGTTCATGTAACTATATCCGAACAGAAAAGGATATCCCCAGTCTCTTGGCATCCTTGACAAACTCTAGAACTAAAGATACTGAATTATGTATGAATGTTATTGGAGCATAAAAGAAAACTTAAAAGACATACACACACACAAAGCACTCCCCTAATCTTCTCTCCAAATGATCCAACATTAGAAAAACCCTAAAAGTACAGGTTAAGTATTTAAAAAGTTAATAACCATTGACAATTTAGAAAGCAACTGACAAAACTTGTAGGTTCAACCTGTAATAGGTTTTCACCAGCATGTTCTACTTTTTTTTACATGCATAAAAAACAGTATGTTTAAATACATTCCAATAACAAATTTGATCAAAAACCAAAATTTTTGTCAAGAATTCAGGAGAAAGAAAAAGAACATTCTCGGAAAGAACTTACTAAAGAAAAAAATGTAATGGATTTGTGTGATAAATTAATTTCATTTCATGTAAATTACACACATAGTAACAGAATAACCCAGTGACTTCCAGCTACACTCATACCTACCCCCACTTTATGATGCACTTTATCTCCTTGCTCTTGTTGGCACTGGTAAAGGTCATCTTTCATATCCTTTAATTCACGTGTCTTTGTCACCAGCTGCTGACGTTTCTGGATCTGTATTGTACCTACGAAGATAAAAACTTTCATTTGATAGTCTGGCTTACGTTAAGTAATCAGAGGACCAGACAAGCCTAAACATCATCTTCATTTTCTCTGCAAATTCACAAGCATTCTTCCCTTGCAATTTCTGCCCAGTACTTACTAGTAACTGTTCAACTGTAACAAAATAAAGCTTGTAAAACCAGATTATTACCAGATTGTACTGATTCTGTTTCTTCCAATGAAAAATAATTTCTCAGACCCAAAAATCTGCTGTCTTTTATTTGATGACAACAAATGAAGGAATTTTGTAACACTACACAGAATTAAGTTAGATACAAAACAAGGAAAGTTATGGAGGAGAGGATGTGTGTAATTTTTTTGTCTTTTTTTAGTAACATGCAAGCCAATGGGGATATAAAAGGGAGATCATTAGTCCATGCATTATCCATTTCAGAACTACAACTTTTACTGTTAAGTAAAGTTTACATGAATAAGAGGATCTTAGCCCAGTATTTAAACTTTCAAGCAGAAACACAATTACTACTCACTGCTTACAAAGCAGCAAGCATTTGCAGGCCCTATCTTGTCATTCTTATCCATGAGTGAAGGCTGAGCAAATGTCCTGTCTTTCACTTGACAGATAAAGGATGAGACACACTATTTTTCTGAAAAACTATCTCCATTGTACTAGCCACCAATTTTTGCCATCAAGTAAAACTTCTTCACTGTTACTTCCCTACCTATACACACGTTCTGTAAATCCTAACACTGATGTAGTTTTTGTTTCTTTGCTTTTAGTATTTTCTTGAATTGACTCTACAGCAGATGGCAACAGCAAGTTTTAGGTATTTCTTTCCACACCAATGCAGCATATGCAGAGTTCTATCTCTGTTTTTGGTGGCGGGCGGGGGTGTATTATTAAACAGAAGGAATTCTATAAATACTATTACACTGAGGAATTTTTTGTGCTGTCTTAATTTCTATTTAAGGTATTGTCAAGTACGAACTTAAAAAACAGACAGTGCTCTATTAAACTAAGTTGAACCTTGATAGTTCAATTCATCTAAGGGAAAGCAACGTTTTTACAGCAATGATTTTAATCTGCAGAGTCCTAATAAACACTTACTGGAAGCACAGATCCTTGCATAAGTGAATTTAAGTATACTGACAGTAAATTTGTTTTTCATATTTATGTTTTATAAATACTTTTGAAGAAGGCCATTGATCCTAAGAGCCTGAAGACTGCCCCTGAAAAATCATCATTTAGTACAAATGGTTCATGTTAAGAGGAATCTGAATTACAAGCAATCACTTAACATCTGTTTCTCTCCTTACCAAGAATTATAATATACATATAGGATGCAAAAATGACATTTAGCAACACAGAACAGCTCACAAAGACACTGAAAATGTACGTAATGAGGTACCACTTCTCAGTAATTGGTTTGTGTTTCCAGACAGTACTCTAAGTCACAGTATCCTTCAGATTTTTTAAGTTATCTATCCAAACTCCTAGCATTACAGCAAGATTCTCTTTTGCAGATTCTGGTTAAAGAAAAAAATATCTGCATGTCAGTAAGGAGACACTCTTCTGGCAAGGGCTTCCCAACTTTAGCTTTTACAGTTTTTTTTCCTGGAAAGCTTGCCCTCTTTCAGATCTCTTTCCTAGAGCATCATAAAGCCAGCTAGCTCAGTTTAATGCTGATTAGGATACAGCTATTGATTCAAACCTAATCCTGGTTGCTTTCTGAATCTTTAAAAGTCTTAAAGGGGTCCTGGAGCTCTAGCTAAATGGAAAACACTATCCTGATACTGATCCAAAAAAAAAAAAAAGTAATTTCCTAAAAAGTAACCCTTTCCAATCCTCTTACATGACAATTAGCCTGGCATTAAAAGACTGCTGTGGAAAATATTCATTGCAAGCCAAATCACAAATGCAAAGCAGTCCTCTAGGGAGATGGATTTCTCTTCAGGAGTTTGTGTTTATAAAAAGCAAACAAAACTCAGGAAGATCGAAAGCTGGGTTTGATTTCCTTTGTAGTGGTAGAAAGATTAGTTATTCATGAAGAACTTCAACTTGCAGAGGCAAAAACTAAAGCCACACAGAGCTGCCTTCTTTCTGATGAGAATGCTGTCAGCACTGTCATCAGTGACAGCAATTTTTATTTAGAAGTACAGATTCAATGAATGAACCAGTCAAAGTGAATCCCCTAATAAAGATATGACTCTGAGTACATTTCCAAAATGTACTTCTCATCCATAGATCTCAAAATTCTTTAAAAGGATAGTATTTATCATTAACCCCAATTTAAACACAGTAAAATGATGAACAGAACTGAAACCTCAAGTTACCACCATAAATCACTATCAAAGATTGGCCTAGCCATTGTGCTCCTCTCTGCTTCTAGCATGCCAGTATATATCAATCAGTTTTTACACCAGCTACTACTAGCTGCAGCTGCCAAATAAAAAAGTATTTTACACAACTGGATTAGTCATTCCTATAATCCCACATACACTAGTAATTCTTAAGACTTGATTTTTTTTTTTTTAATGTAAGTATGCATACATATATGGATGTGTGTGTACACATACACACACACAACTTAATACAGAAATCTGAATGCAAGCACAGCATCCACCATACATCACTCATGACTCTTACCTTCAGGTTTACCTAAGAACAAAAAATACCAGGGTCAAGTGAAAATTAGTGTAAGTCTCAAAATAAATGACAAAATTTAGACCCCTAGCAATTAGTCAAAAATCAAATCCAATTAGAATCCTATTCCCAGTTCCAAACTGAATCACAAGTCTTCTTACGAAAGCACGTTTTCATATAAAATTACTCAGAAAAACTACTATTAAAAATAAATGCCCTCTATTATTTTTATCATAACACATGTATCTTAGAAGATCAGGATTGCACTGCATAGATTTAGGTCTGTACTGAGTCCGGCTGTTTCATTAAATGTAGCAACAATCTATGTAATGTTTAACTTTAGGCAACACACCGAATACAGAAAAATTGCTGCTATCCTGGATTCCCTAAACCACTCTGGAACTGCAAGGACAACTACAGCCTATTTTTCTCCACTGGACAGAGAAAAATATTGATACTATGAACTCCTCTAAAAAAACATATGCCTTGCTCTCACATTTACCAGATGAGTACTTAGGGGACAAAAGCCTGAAATAACTCTGCTGTTCGGAACGATAGGCACTACCACAAATTTATTTCAAAAGAAAAAATGTGAAAAATAAAGGGTAGACACTGCATCATGATAATAACACGACATTTCTAACTGGAAGGGCAACCAAAAATATTTTTGTTTACTTTAAAGTAGTGTATATTAAATACAATTGAACCGCTGAAGGGCCTCCCTATATTATCCACACATTAGCAGTTGCTTTTTCTCATTTTTAGGTTTAGATTGTTAGCAGAGAACAAGAAAAAAAGTCAGAGTTACAATAAAATGGTCTTTGTTATGCAAGATGTTGATTCTATGTATGTTGTTTTCTATAAACTCACCATAGAAGTGTCCAAAGCCCATGCTGATTGCAATCACCAAAGCTAGTATGATGCATCTGTTAAGGCCACTACTGAACTGGTGCTTATGCTGCTCTTCTCCGGGAGGTTCAGACTCCGGTTCA